ATATTAATTTAAAAAATATGTATCTTTTAGATTAAATCTCTGAAAAAGGTGTGACTAAAAAAAATTCAAGTAATATTTTGTTTAAATGTATAATCGAAATTTTCCGATTCAACTGTATCTATACATGGGTCATTAAGCCCTGCGACTAAATTTATTTATTTTTTAAAATATTTTTTTTATAGATATGGATGGTATGTGTTTAAATTTTTATAATCAAAAATTTATCCTATTCTAAATTTTTTCCATATTGAAATTGAAAATAAAAAAATAAAAAAACAAAAAATTATAACTATAATAATAATAATATAAGTGAGAAACATTTTTGTGGCCACCCCTTTTAATATATGAAAACAAAAAACATTTGAAGCTAAACTATTTTTCAGAGAATTTCTTATTTTTTAAACTCCCATCTCTATCTTATGAGCAATTAGGATCCTATTAAGATAATGGAGCCCCCCATTCCCCAACTTCTTTTAACCTCTACTCACTTTATTTGAATTAAGCACTTCTACCATGAGGAGATCCTCAGGTGAAGTATTTCCATGATTAAAATAAAGGAATAGGAGTGTAAAATGTAAAGAGAGCATATAAAGTATGATAATTTCTGTTTTGTTTTTAATTTCTTTTTTTTGGCCAATTTGGATTTGAATTTCTAGCTTTTTTCTAGCTGCTTGCATGATTTAATTATTCCTAAACTAAATAATGCAAAAAATTAAATATTAAACAAAAGACGAAGATATCTGAAATTTTCTCGAAAGAATGTTTTTTTATCCTCTGCATCTAAAATTATATAATTACTTAGATTAGAGAATTATGAACTTTTAATTAAATTAAATATAAAATGTTTTTAAAAAAAAAATATATGACAATATAAAGGAAAAAGCCGCATGGCAACCTTTTGTATAGGATAGATGATATCATTACCAAAATAAAAATTAAAACTAGCCAATGAGTAAAATTATTGTCACTAATTCTTGTTTGAACAATATTGTATAAACATTATATAAATTTTAACTTTTTTTTAAAAATTATAATTGAAAAAATATATATGAATTTTTAGTTTCAATAGCTTCACTATTTTAATGAGTTAGAATTAACTTCAAAGTTTGAAAATTTTTGAAAAGAATTTTTTTTTGGAGATTGCTCGAGAATTAAATTTCCAACCCAGAAGGGTGTTTTGGGGGTTCATTAACCTTAAACTGAATTAAACCCGCCAAACAATTCCCGAATTTGAGCCTAAATTTTTTTATAAAAACAATTTCTAAGGATTTGAAGGTTGCCTAAATCTCTATTGATTAAAAATTGAGACCAGTTAAAGGAATAGCAGAACCAAACATTGTATTTTACATCATTTTTGTTTTGCTTTATATTAATATCTCTTTACACTCATCAAGCTAGACAAATACTATATAGATATTTGAGAAATAAATAATTTTTAGTTATAGGAGAAGAGATTTGGTAGTTCCACGCCATGTACAACCTATTCTTAAAGTCAACCATGCCAATGAGATCTAGAAATGAGTTCTGACATAAAATTTTATCTAATATATAAATTTATTTTTTCGAAATTAAGAATATCTTGATGTTAAATCTCTTGGATTAAGTTTATAACCTTCGAATTCCAAAAATTCACTTAATATCTTAAAAAACTAAAGTTAAATATAAATAATTTATAGATAAGTAACACATAGTCCAATTATTGTTTAGAAACAAAATTTCCATAGTCGATTTTTCTCGATTAGGGTGTGGCAAAATTTTTACATTATATTTGAAATCAAGAAAATTTTTCATAAATCGTAAATTTTAATTAAAAATTTTTAATTGTGCAAAAATATATTCCAATCCAAATTTGAATTCCCAAGACGACTGATAATACATTGTAAATAATGTTTAAGCTTTTTCTTACAAAACATGTGAAACTATATGATAGTATTAATTTAAAAAATCAATTCATTTTCTGGATATATATTGCTAACAGATTTACTAAGCTGGAGGTAAATAATCGTTTTAAAATGTTAAATAAAAAGTTCGATTAATAGAAAAAGTATAATTAATCTAAAATGGCCACCAAATATGAAATATGTTTGTTAATTTAACCCTAAATCAAATATCGAATTTTGAAATGATACATAGTAAAGTTTAGGATGGTACTTTTAAAATGTTATCTTAAGTGATATACACTTTGAAGTTTAGAATGACATTCTTACAACGTAAAATGTCAATTAGTATTAGAAGGCAATTCATCAACAAAACTAAAGCGACTTTTAAAAAAATTGCCAATTCTGGATAAACTTCTCTTCTACCCCCCCCCCCCCCAACTCTATTAAAAGATATTATAATTTCCGCTATAACCCATCACTTAAGTAAGGTATCCATTTACAATCACAACTTAATTTACTCAATGCTGGATCAAATTAAAATAAGGCTCATAATGCAATTATTCGATTTCTTGCTTTCGTGTTATTTTATGTTTTGTATATATTTATTTTATGAATAAAATTTCAAACTACTAAATCGGTATGATATATATTATTTTATTAGTGATAACTTAGTATTAAGCTTCTTTAAAAAACCTTACCTTTAACATAAAAGATTTTCTAATTTTTTTAAATATTCTTTCAAATCGTAGATTTTTTTTGAGGTTTTGTTTCATTAATTTTTGGGAACAAAACATCCAGGCATGTAATGCCTTTGCCAAAATTTACGTAAAATGGGATGCCGATATCATCTCTATAAAAGATTGCAAAAATTATTGAAAATAATGAATATCTTGTTAACTACATTATATTATAGATAGTAAATTTTTGATAGATCTTTGGCTACTTAATTTTATTGCATTTAAAAGGGAGAAATAACCCCTTAGCCTCTATTAATATTTTAAAAAAAGGTTGTATACAATATAGGAAATAAATGAATGTGTTATATTAATATTTACAATAATAAAAGAGTTAAAAATTATCTAAATTAATGAATGATTTGTAAAGATCACGTAATATATAATGTTAACAAGTCAAATTCTAGAAAAATAAAACAAAAATTTCAATCTAAACTATTGACATGGAGATATGTAATATAATTATTACAATTTTCGTACAATCAAATATAACCTTAATTTATCTTTATTTACACGATCCCTTCTCGCAATGTGCCTTTTACCCTTTTATATCCGCAGTCACTCACTATCATAAGAGGGGCGTAGTGTTTAAAAATTATAGATCTATAAAAATTACTAAATTTTTCATGTGTGAAATAATTTTGGAGTTGTTTTAATATTTATTAAGCTAGCATGATATTTACTAAATAGGAAGAAACGCAAGACTTTAAAATAACGGGAATTTGCTAACTTCATAAAAAATTTGCCATGCCAATAATTAAGATGACAAAAAAATAAGAAAAATTAGGAACTATATTGAAATTCATATTTATAAAAACACATATTCTTACCTGTTTTCCCGGACCAATACCTGAATATCAGCAACTTGGCAACTTTGCTATATAACTTCTTCCTTTTCATGGGATATAGTCTTCACCTACCTACATCCATTCTCGTGCATTATTTTTTATCTTTGCCTTTCAACATTCTCCCTAAACCGTTCTTCTTATTATCATAATTATAGCCAGTACATCAATTTCCTTTTACCAATTCTGCTTCATGAAAACACATGGCACATTCACTTGATCTTTATCATATCCAATTTTGCTTAACACCTTAACCATTTCTGACTCTCGAATAAAATTATCGTAGGAAATTTCTTCCATACGCATCGCATCCTTGCCATCCATTCATTCTGCTCTCAACTAGTCTAAGTAACAAAATTTATACACTTTTCCCAAGGCAACTCCATTACCGATAATTTAAAATCCTGATAACTTCACACGTTGCGAGCTTTTAAATTGAAGGTAGCTCATTATTCAAATTTTTTTTAAATTGGCATAAAAGGTATTTATAATTTTGCAAAAATATTGTGGGATGGGGGGCTCCAAAGTTTTCAGACAACTTGAGCCCTATGCGCCCCTACAAAGAAACAACTGCATCACATACTAATCTAAAAAAAAATTAATACCACAAAGCATTATACCTAAGTTCTTCAAAGTGACCTGATATAGCATCCCGCTAAACGCTTTTCTCAAATATACATTCATAATTATTTATTTTATGTACAAATATCTTGCAACATTTCGCTATGTTTTTACATTACTAGTTGTACTTTTTTCTCCAATTGCCTTAACTATGTTAAGTCACGCCTCCTGGTGTAGTTGCTCTTAGTCTGAATTTACTTATCGTTTATCGGAATCCTGGAAAAACCTGCTTGTATCCAGGGCAATGACATTACCAATCATCATATTAAATGCATTATAATGTTAACACATTGAAGTTAACCATTGAAAGGCTTTTAGGTAAAATATCTTTCAATGGTATCTACTGTAACCAATTACATTGGGTACAACTGACTTCAATGTATGTAGTTTTAATAAATAAATCGCCAGCATTATCACGATAGATATTACTGAATTGTGCCAGATTATTAAAAGATTTATTTCTTGCACTTTTCTTCCGGTTCAAAATCTTTAGTCTCGACATATATCTATTTTTTCTACCACGCCTTTGAATGTAAGCGCCTTCATAATTAACCGATATTATAATACACAATCTTCTGCCTGGGATAATGTTTATACCAGGGTCTGTAAATATCAAAATTCTTAGGTTCAGTCCGGTGAGGTTTCATTTGGCCCAATCTGGAATCGCTTTCATAAATTAAGATTATCAGATTGTTAAAAATATAATTCCATTAATTAATCGTACTATAAGAAAATTATTTTCATTTTAAGCTATATTTACACTATCACTCTATTCAAGATTTAAAGGGTCACATTTGATGATTTAAAAAAGATCAATAAAAACAAAACTATCGACAAATAATTTTTTGCCCTAATAAAAGTTTCACAATTTGAGAATAATTTATACGGAACACAAGTCTTTAATATAAATTTTTTTAGTTATATAATTTCCATAATTTATAATAAACGAAGCATTTCAATATAATATATTACAGATGTTTCCTTTTAAATTTATGCTGAACAATATCTCTCACAGGTCTTCTTATACGATTTTCTTTCTTTCTTGATAAATTCTGTATGGTTTGTTTAGATTCGGATTTTTTCTTGTATAAATGTAATTTCGATTATATAATTTTTAATAGCTATATAAAAGAAAAACTTTCATGTCCCCTAAAAAATGAAAGTGGGAAATTATATGGCATAATCTTACTAAGTCGATTTAAGCATTAAAGTCTGTCCTAGTTTATCTTTTATACTGCATTTAAACCCTAACACTATTTTTTTTTGTTCTAGTCATTTAGGAAGAAATTGGTTCTAGTTATGCAAATGATTAGAGAAGGTCATGTTTGTAGATGACGTATCGAAAGTATACTATATCTTGAATGATAGGTGTTTTTCCATAAATAATTTAAAATTATTATAATATTAATAATTCAGTAAAATCTGTCAAAAGGGAAATCAGGATAAGATGGAAAATGATCAAGAAAAATTATTTCTCCTTTATAAATTTACAATTTCTTTCATTTTTTATGGCAAAAAAAATCGACAGAAATAAAGAATTTTTCTTCTTTTTATGATGTCTAATTCTATTTTCGTAATTAAAATAGACGGAAAAAAATCCTCTATTTAGAAATTTGGCCTTAAAATAATTTTACCACCTGTATATATGAAGAAGCAAATTTTTGAAGATAAAAAAATGAGTGAATGCTTATTTAAAATTTTGATCATTATTTGCTCAAAATTCCAAATTTTTATTTGGATCTTCATTTTCTCGATACTTTTTTTTATCTTAAATAAAAAAAATGTTAAACTCTGAAAAGAATATGATTATGTTTTTTTTTACCCTGTGAGAAGTTAATTTAAAGGTCATTTCTTTGTTTAAATTTTCATTCGTGAATGCTTTGACAATGGAAGAATTGCGTTTTACCGTTTCTAGACGAGTATGCAAATCCATTCTAAAAAACAATTTTAAATAAATTGTTTAAAAAAATCAATGCATTAATAATTACAACCTTTTTCTTGCAATTTTTAAAATCTAAAATAATCCATTTCATAATCCCTTTTGATATTTAATTATATATGAATTCCGATATTTAATTGTTTACGTATATGAAATTCAGATATTTAATTGTCTATGGATATGGAATTCAGATATTTAATTGTTTATGGATATGAATTCAGATTTAATTGTAAATGGATATGGAATTCAGATTAAATGTATATGGAATCCAGGTATTTAATTGTATATGGATATAGAATTCAGATATTTAAGTGTATATGGATATAGAATTCGGATATTTAATTGTATAAGGATATGGATTTCAAAATTATATGAATTATATTATTTTGATAAAAACAAACAAAAAACGATTAATACTAACTTCTCAATTACGATTTCTTTATTCGAACCAAAGCCTTCTTCCGATATTCCGAATTCGTATCCCATTTCTACATAATTTGCATTATTTTGAGTTTCTGTAGAATCCTTCACTCCCATATTTTGGGGATATTTACGATTTCCCAGATTTTTGCGTCTGTTTTGAATAGATAATTTATGATTCATTTCCGTTTCGTCGATTTCACTAGATGAAGGGCTACTTTTAGAGTTGAAAAAATAATTTTCGTCATCGGAAGAAGATAAAACTCGGTCCTTTTCGCCGAGGGAAATGTTTTGATCATTCGATTCGTCGACCTCCTAGTTCGTTAGCGTATAAATTATGTTTAAAAATTTTTTGCAGAAAAATATGGAATAAAAATATGAAAACTTCGATTAATTATTTTTAAAAACCTCACGGTCATCATTTTGCGCTCTCCTATTTTTGAGCGCTAATTTTTTCTCCATTCTATTTATTATGGGATTTATGAATTTGTATTCCTCACTGCCAGGATCTATATTGAAATTAGAGTCAGAAAATATGCCCTTGAATCGTTCATCGGTTAGGATGTCAGTAATGGTACAAGTTGATTTATTTTTCTAAGTTAAGTGCAAAATAAATAAGTTCACACTAATATTTTTAAAATAATTTCGGGCCGGGTCGGGTCTTGGAAATTTTTTTAAATATATCTAAATTTATCAATTTTATATTGAATTTTTTATGTAAAATAAAAATTTTTGATTTAATTTATTGAAACTAAACGCCATTTATAACATATGTCTTTTATTTTTAGTAATTATAAAAATTAATTTCTATATTTAAATAAATTCGGGCCAGGCCGGTAAATTTTTTAAAAATAAATTTCGAGTTCGGGCTGGGCCGGCAAAATTTTTTTGAAAAGAATTTCGGGCCGGGCTTGTAAAATTAGGCCCGATGCAGATCACTAAGACCAACCCAAAAACAAGAAAAGGAATGAGTTAATTATTGAGAGATAACTATCATCATATTAGTTGTATGTATTCAATTCACAAAATTCAATGCTATAATAAGATTCTATAACACTATTCATTGTCATATTTATATTATATTATAAGAAAAATGTTCTTATTAAAAAAACGTATTACTGGTTGCTCTGATAAATTTTCTTTTCCTCCTTTGGATGATTGCAGAAGCCGAGATAACTTTTGAGCTAATTCACTATTTACGCCATTTCCTATGTGAATTGCATTAAGTTTATAAAGAGAAGTAAACAATGTCAAAATGAAACTTTATTAATAGATATATAGCCCCACCCTATTTTATTTTAATTATATATAGAGCGATTCAATCTAAACAATTATTTTCAAAGATAATTATATCATGTCTGAGTTGGAGAATTCATAAAATCAATTTATTATACACAAAATAATTATCACTATATAACTTATTAATAAATTAGAATTCAAAACTTCATGTACCTATAATATCCTCCCTGGGTCCTAGTTTAAGCCTTTCCTTTTGGGCAACCCTCTCCGCTATAACCCTGTCTACTTTATGGCTCTTAAAGGTATTCAAACTGAAGGGATCCATAATAGCCAGGGTTTTAAAATACAGGTCAGCTTCTATAAAATAGCCGTGCATGTAAGCTCTCAGGGTTTGAGTTCCTATTAGATGAGAGAGTCCAAGCTTTTGTAATTGATCGGAAGTGACAAATTTGTAATCGTCGTATACCAAACGAGTTTGTAATGATTTATCGTCGAGATTTGAATCTAGTAAGATTTTTATAAATAGGCGAAAAATTTTTATTTATAAAGATTAAAAAAATGTTTAAAATTTCTCTCGTTATAAAGTTGTATCTCCACTCTAAAGCTTTTTTTTTTAAAAAAACCCTGCTATATGATTAATAAGGATTTGAAAAAAGCACAATATTTTATGCAAAAAAAATAACAGTGGATCTAGCAATCGTCTCACTAACAAGTTTAAAAAAAAGTAATTAATATAAATTTTAAGGTAAGAATATTCCCGAATATATTTGATTTTCATTCGCGCATTTTTAAATTTATTAAAATGATTTGTAAATTTTATTATAATGATATAAAATATGAGTTTGTAATAAAGCAAAAACACGAAGGCTAAATAGTGGAGTTAGTTAAAACTCTATAATAATCAAGGACAATATTACAAAATTTAGACATAATCTTCCCTGCTCAATGGGGTACCATAGCAAATCGATCAAAATTCGACCATTTTCGTGGACCTCTTTCAAATCGAATGAACTACATGATTATATGTTATGTCGATCTGCGCATTAATTTTTTAAGATCTAACTCAACTAGTTCCGTAGATATGGCAGGTCAAAGCTAAAAAAAATATCGTCCTTCCTAATTCGGCCCGTGAAAAATAAAAATCACAAAAAATATAAATGATAGACTTCTATTTGGTATTATTAGACAGCCCTTAAATCTCTTCCTTATAAATATTAAAATTTTTTTTAAAATCTCGGGTATTTTTTCATTTCCGGGAAAAGTAAAGGTTGATTTTTTAATATATATTTGAATTAAAAATTTTCATTAAAACCGTGATATCTTTCTCCCTCTAATTCTTCCGTCAGAGCATCAAGATAAGAGAACCATTTTGGAGCTGGTCCCAGTTTGGGAATAAAATAGGATGCTATTTGAGGCTCCTCGAGGGCTAAAAATAACATTCCACTATTCGGAACGAAGCAAACATCGTTAAGTGCTACATCGCCTTTTATATAGAAACAAAAAAATATTCTGAATTATATTATAGTACATGAAAACTTGGTGTTAAAAACATTTTGATAAGAATTGCTGTCTTTGAATAATTACTTTATGAATATTAAGCCGAATAATAATAATAATTTTAAATATTATCACTTAGCTATACTTTAAAAATAATTTTTTTTAATAGAATAGTATAGTAACATACCATTTCCGGGTTCAATACAAGTCAAATTTTTTGGATTTAATCCTTCTTCCCTTCCTTCGCAGTATTCATTAGATGTTGAATCCCATATCTTGAGACATTTAGCATCCATACTAGCAACATACTCGTTTTCGTAGTTCGTGAATTCTTCATTCATTTCTCGATTATTGTAATTGAAAATCGACGAGGAATTAGAAAGAAATTCTAATTTTTTAATGGGTAACCCGTACATATGGTCCTTAGTAAGGTAAGGGGTTTTGCAGCGCAAATCATAAAGGAGTATCTAAATAATTTAAATTTATTTGTCATTTATAAAATATTTCCAAACTTATGAAAATAATTAACGCTATTGTAAAAAAAAATGAGGGCAATTGTTGATTCAAGATCATATAAAACCACTCCTGGTTAATGAAGGGTTAAACTAAATCGAATTTTATACTCACACACGCAATTAGGGTCGATTTTAGAAAACGGCTCGATTAAGATTATAACCAAAATAACATTATGTAAGTCTAAAAAATTTTACACATAACTGGCAAAAATACATGGACATCTATTTGCCAACGATGCTTACATAATATTGTTTTAGCTAAAATCTTAATCGGGCCGTTTTGAAAAATTGACCCAAATCGGGCTTTTTAACAACACTAATTCACGTTGCTCCCAATTCTAAAGAAGATAAAATATAGGCAATTTCAGGGTTGAAAAAAAATTTACAATTAGCGTTACATTCATTTTGGAAATATAGCGAAGAGTCCCTATAACCGTTACATTTGTCTGTGTAACGTAGGGCCTATTTTTCGTTATTTTTAAAACATATTTTACGAATGTATTCAATGTTTAAGGTGAAATGCTTGAATTTATTGATTAACGGAAAAGGTATCCAATAGAAAGAGGGAATAAGAATTCTTCGTTTTTAAATCTCTTAGTTGTAATATTTTGTGGTTTCGTTTTCTATTCTTAAATCATGGCAACTATTGAAAAAGTTATTTCAGCAGAGAGATGACGATAGTTTTCTTAGAAGAAAATGAATTTAACACTATAGATTGACATATCAAAAAGAAAAAAAGAAGAGATTACTTAAAGTTTTCATTTAAAGTATTTAAAAAATAAATATACAGTATAAATATTTATTCGCTATAATGCATATTTACCTCACTATTAGAGTACTTATTTTCGTTTGCAAATTTAATTGATAGACCAAAACAGGAGACGAAAATGATATTTCATTTGAAAAATTAGTACCTTTTATCAAATGGTCAAAATGATAACTTTGGTTGTTATTATAATGAATTAGACAATCAAATTATTTACGACTGCAAATTTAATTAATAGAACCAAACAGGAGAAGTGTAGAGGTGGGCGATGGACAAACTCATATCTATCGATCATATTTTATTTTTAGCTCTTAAAGCGGTAAATTGTTTAACTTTTAATATTATTTTTTATTCGGCGTAAGCATTTAGCTTTTATTTTATAATAACTCAATTTTACTTTTTTATCATTTTTTTATATACCGGTTAAAAGCAAAATTTTTATTATCTTAAACTAATTGTTTTATTTATGTAACTTAAAACATGTTTAAATTATATTTCGATATTTATTTTTTGAATTTCGTTAAATATATTTTTTAATATAAGTATTCATTATTAATCAGATTAGACCCTCAAAAATTTTGATCCAAAAATTTATATTTAAAAAATACTTGTTTGATACTTATTTTATACTTGAAATATTTAAATAACAGAATAAATATATTTACCAAATGTATAGTAATGTAGAACTTAAATGTATAATTGCATCATGATACATATATATAATGGAAATATATGTATGAATATATGGTATTATATATTTTTATGGATTAATATTTTATAATGATTATATACGCATGTATAATGTCGAGTGGTAATATTTAACTGCCTAACATGCTTGCTCTGAAGAAAGATCTATGATATTTTTACATCCGTTTTATATTGATTGTTTTATATGTGGAATAAATGGCGTGAATGAATATGATTTGAACTAAAATATTGACGCAGTATAAATTTATTAAAAAATGGTCTAAAATTACAAGACGAAAATGATGCATCATTTCAAAAATTAGTGCCTTTCTCAAATGCTTAAAAAGATAGTTAGTGATTGAAGAGATTGAAAAATTAGATCATTTAAATTTCTTATTTTATTTTTTAAATAAAAAACTTCTAAGAAAACCATTATACCATTCCGAAATTCGTTCCAACTCCAAACTTGAGCCCATCCTTGTATCTTAACGCGGAAAACCCGGATGGAATATTTTGAAAATTCGTAATATTTTTATGGTCAGAATGAGGCATTTGGTGATCGTAAAAATTATTTTTGTAATTTGAAAGACTGCAATCAATAAGGGAAACCCTATTTTTTGCTCTAGGATCCCAGCATTCAATTGTGCCATCTATCGTGACACAGGTGAATAAACGGTGGGAAGGATTAAATTGACAAGCCGTTATTGTTCTAATATAAATCAAAATCAATAATTGTGTGAAAATAATTTTAAAAAATTGCTTTTTGTTAAAATTCTTATTTTTGCTAAATATGATCTCCATTACCAACTTATCATAAGTTATAATATATAAAGCCAGGAAAAATATTTGCTTTTGATTCATTATATAAGATAAAGTACTACCTTGCATTGGTCTGTAAAGAATTCATGAACCTTCCTTGTTGCAAATTCAGTCTAAAAATTTCTGATCTAAAATTTTAAAAAAAATTATTTTGATAGCCTTAGTAATAAACTAAAGAACTATGGCATCCTAATTTAAATTTTCTGTTTAAACACAAATTTATTTTATAAGAAGATATATTTTTTTTATAAATTTGAATCATAATACTTTGTTTTTCGTTATTTTTTTAAAAATATTTTGAATTTAAAAAAAAAAACCTTTAACAATTTAAATTTTAATTATAGTAATTCAAAAAATATTATCCAAACTTTGCCTAGGTAATAATGCAGCTATGCCATTGCTTAAGAATATTTAGATTAAGCATGGATTTTGCAAACTTAAATAATAAAATATATAGAAATATGACATTTATTTATTTTTTGTGTACCCATTTCCAACAAAATAAACTTCACAACTGATTGGATCGTAATCAAGATCTCTCCCAATTTTAGGAATTCTAGTCTTAAAGTGAAATCCATAGCTGGCATGAAACTCCACCCATCTATCTTGTTCTAAGCATATAAACTGCAATTAAATTGGATATATACTATAAAATTTATGCCATTCACACCTATCTTTTTCAGTGAATAATAATTTTTTAATCAGTTTACTTTAAAATACATGTGTTTTATTTGGATATGAAATCCATGGGGGTTGACAATCTCTGATACACCCAAAATGAGTATAAAATGTGCATCCTCTGCAAAGGAAATAATTTACTGATGGTAAGGGATCAATAAAATTTAATTTATAAATATAAAAATAAATATATATATCAATGATAAATTTAATATGAACAATATTTTGCTTTTTTTTAAATTAAGCCGCACAATTAATATATTTTCAAAATTCGTCTCACTCAAATTACATCTATAAGGAGATAGTATAAATTTAAATGTTGAAAAACATCTTTCTTGAGTAGCCGGCACTGCCAATATGATATCAGATTTGATGTGTCATTTATAATAATATTTTGGATTTAATTTTTCTCTAAGCTTTATAATTTCTAAGCTTAAAATATTTTAAAATGTTGTAAAATGACAATATACTAAAGTTTATAAAAATTATGACTGGCACTTATCAATTAAATGTGATTGATGATAATCTTTAAAATTATTCGAATATAATTGAAATCTAATAATAACTTACATATTATTTTATAAGCATAAAATTATTATGAGACTCAAACCGGTTTCGGTTCAGGTTCGGCTGAAATTTTTTTAGGTTTCGGTTAAGGTTCGATAAAAAATACCGGTTTTTAGCGGTTTAACGGTTCAGTTTGGATCCCTGGTAATTTCCAAATTTAAAAAATATGATTTGGCCAGAAATGTATTCCATGAGTATCCTTTGGACAATTTTGCCATTAACTTTTAATATATTCTTAATTTGTATTAATTTTTCTTCATAGATTTTGCAAAATATATATAAAAATTTATGGCCGTCTAAAAATTTATATAGGTAACTACATGTATTTAATTCCATTCAAATTATATTTTTTAAATTTATAAATCAACTTTAGTAGATTTAAGATTGTGATTCCAAATCCTCATGGATTTATATCTCAATAAAATATATAATCCAAATTAGAATCCATAAAGTTTTATTTAAAAATTTCAAAAAATAGGCTAGATTCAAGCTAAAAAATAATGTATATTTCAAAAATTTTCATGTAAACTAATTTTATTGAAATTTCAATTATTATATTTCAATCATAAATGTTTATAAAATTAAATATAATATTTTGAAATTTAATTAGTTAATTATCAAAGCTTTATGGGAAATGACTAAAATATGTGCCAACAAAAATTATGCTCCCCCTATCAAAGAAGCTTAATTTAAATTATATTATTACAGAATCGTATTTAACTTCATAAGATGAGTTAGAAAATGTTTTTCTTTGATTTAAAAAAAATGGCAACATAGTAAAATTTTTTAAAAATTATTTTTTTACATGACTAAACTATGTGCCCCCTATCAAAGAAGCTTAATATATAAAAAATGAATGCAGAATATATAATTTATTAAATAGAATCAAAAAATGTTAATACTAAGTTTATAAATTATTTATAACTTATTGAGATTTTAAAAAACACTTAATTTCTTCTTTTTTGACTAAATTTTTTTATAAATTTTACTATGTTGCTTTTTTTTAAATAAAAAAAACATTTTCTAACTCATCTAATGAATCTAAAGATTCTGTATTAATATAATTTAAATTAAGCATCTTTGATAGGGAGTGTGTAGTTTTTAGGGGAGCGTATTTTAGTCATGCCCGCTTTTGTTGATTAATTTATTTATTTTTTTACAATACAGTTTAATTTACATTTATTTTGTTAAGTATTTTTTAAATTTATTTAACATTAAAATTTATACAGTAATAGAAGGTAAATTAAAGAAAAATTTGAAGAGTTAATGCATGGTAAATAAAACTTTTACTTAATATTATATCAATTAATGTTATTTTTACTTACTTTAGAATAATCATCTGTTAACAAATGAATTTTGATGATTTCAGCATCAACACATCTTTCAAATTTCATAGAAAGTTGTTTTACATCATAACATCTGATTCTTGGTTTATACATACCTTATTAAAAATAAACGTATTGTTAAAAATCATATATAAATTGAACTATCTTAACATAAACTTAATAATAATAACTTGATATTATATAAAAATAAGCCTCATTTTGATATGTCGTTTTTTAATATCAAATTAACATAAAATTTAAACCAGTTGATAGTATATAATTTCCATCTTTGGTGATACATATAGAATTTGTTACAGCAGGCATTTCAAAATCTTGAATTAATTGAATTCTTTTGTCCAATTCTTCATCCTTCTTGATCATCGCTTTTTTCCTTTTTTGTGATAACCACTATATTATGAACCAATTTAAAAAATCTATATTAGTTTAACTTCTGGCAATATCTTCCCAGATGTTAAATTGTAAACTTTAACACCATTTATATCTGTCACATGCATTTGAAATATATGGAAAAAATAAAAGATACATCTGTCATCTTAAGATATGACCTGTCAGATTTGATAGCTAATAAGATCTTGTAAGAAATATCTCTTCTCTTCTCTTCTCTTCTCTTCTCTTCTCTTCTCTTCTCTTCTCTTCTCTTCTCTTCTCTTCATATTAAATCAGCTGAAGATTCAGCCAGACCCTCTTCGATTTTTTAAAATTTGTATGATGGTAATATATAAATATATTAACATATAAAATTTTATTTCCCAACTCAGCTTATTTCATGAGATATGGCCATTTAGAAACGAAATTTCCAAAATACACTATATTTAATTTAAGATACCTTAAAAATAATTATGATAAAAATATAATTTAAATAGCCCTAGAATAGCCCTTTAATATGATAATTTATTTTATTGAGAATTAATTACCAAAAATCAAAAGCAGTTATAAAATGAAAATATATATTTTTTTTTTCAAATTTTTTAATAAAGATTATACTTCCTTATTTTGTGCAAAATCTTAGACTGGGACAAACTCTGGTTTAAAAGATTTTGCACCTTAAATATTGGTCATATGACTAAATTCGTATATATTATTTATGTTTAAATATATATATTAATTTCTTCAAATTTTCAAAATTAAAAATAAACCTAAAATTTAGACATATTGTAAAAAAAAAAATAGATGGGTTGGCATTGTAAACTCTAAGTTTGGGCCTAAAATTTATAAAAAAAATAGGACCGTTGACGGCTTTAGAGTTTAAAATAATATTAATATATTTTAAAATTTTTTCAGGAACAAGTAGCCAATATTTTATGTGTATGATAGTCAACTCGATTTTGTTTAATAGCAAAACTTAGAAAAATATATAATTTCTATATCTAAAAAAAGTGGGTCGCGGATAAATAATTTTTATTTCTGGTTCGGGACATATAAAATAAATTGATTGGGATAGGGCGCCTATTTTTTATAAAAATTTGGCTTGATTTTCCCGATTCAGGTCACTAGTTGACATTATGTCGTATTTAAAAAATAAGTTTAGCTTCTATTTATTTTTTAAATTTTAGATATAATTTAGCAACTTTTTAATTCAGATCAACCATTAAATTTCTTCATTTTTATTTTAAATTTTCAGTCAAGATTGTTAATATAATCAATATTGAATCAATCAAGGGTTAATTTATATTCTTATTCTCGAAAATCATAATTTACTTTATAAAGAATATTATGTCAATTGCACATATTTTTTCAGGTTAATATGATTTAATCTGCCCTAGGCCCAGAGTTGGGCATACCGCGAATACTTGTATCTATGATACAAGATCCTTTTCTATCTTTTACTCCGTATCTTTTTGGCATTTCTAATAAGATTATAGTATCTGTAACTAAGATTCTTTATTTAAAAAAGAATCTTGTATCTATTTCATTTTCATTTTCTTGACAAAAAATATAGATACAGATTCTATTTAATATTCATTTAAAATTTTACATCTCACAGTATATATTATATTTTCTTCGAGAATCTAGTATTCATTTTCTTTTTTTTTTCCGCCATATTTTTATATATTGACAGCCAAAATTGGGTGAAAAATTTACCACTCATAATAAGTACATAGATAAAAAATATCAACACCAAAACGAGTTAATAGATTCGATAGAGTAACATTACCAATTTTATTTAATATTTTTAATTTGTAGAATGATTAACACTCATGATAGTGAAGAAGAAAGTAGTGAAATATAAGTTATAGAAATAAGTTCCCCTGAATCATATCCCAATTTTAAAATTTTATATGGAAATTTATTTTAAATAAATGTTAAAAAAACAATGTACAGGCTAGATGTAGAACCTGTATAAACAAAAAAAAGATAAAGGGTTAAAAACAAATTTTATTAAATATATTAAAGTATATTATTTATGTGGAGTTAAACATAAGTTATCTTAAAAATTCAAGTTTACAATATTGACTATCTTTATTAAAAGCTGCCCAAGATAGTATGGGCAAAAGATTTTAAGAAAATATTTTCATATGATTTAAATATAATGAGGCGTTTCTTGGCATCAAATCACATCCAAATTTTAAGAACTTAAGGATTAAGTCGGATGATAAAAAAAATTATTAAAAGAAGCCCTAAATGTAGTACCTGTGTATATAATCAAGCTAAAATTATAACACAATAAAAAATCTAATAAGGTAAATGATTATTATTTTTCTTTTAGTAAAACAAATGTCGCTGTGTTCAAACAAATAAAATAAATTTGGAGGTTTTAAAATATATTAAAGAAAGTCGAAATACATTATAAATGCTAAATTATTATCCTTCATTAAAGGAAATTTTTTTAAAATATAATACTGGAATACCTTCATCAGCTCTTTGAAAGAGTTTTGGCACAATGTTAAATACGCCAAAACGGCAAAGGTCTAATTATAAATTATTTTAAAAATTTGATTATCTCATAAAATAATGAATGTATTTTAAATGCGCTTTTGAAAATTAATATTTCAACTCCCATTAAAAATACTAGTCTCCCTTCTTGATCTATGTTAAGAATGGGCTAATACTAATATTAAAATGCCTGATAATTATGTTAACTCATCATTAAATGTTTTATTAATTAATGGAAATATTTATACATATTATATTTATTAAAATTGTATTTTATAAAATATTCTAATTTAATTGGTAATGATAATTTTTTATATTTAAGATATCTAATTAAGCAATAGATTCGAGTAACTTTTATCTTGTATCTTTTTAGTATTTAGAAAAAGATACTAATATCTGTATCTAAGATTCATTTTTTCACAAAGAATCTTTATCTGTATCTTGATTCTTTTTCTCCTGCCAAACTCCGCCTAGGCCCAATATAAAACATTTTTTCCACCAATAAAAGGGTATTAAGTCTGCACTTTGTAAAATTATGTATCAACTTAAACATGACCTCAATTAAGAAATAAATATGGGCAGTCTTCAAACTACAGATATTTTTTTTAAAAAAATGGAATGATATCTGATTAAATCGGTTATAACAAATTGGAACTCTCTTTTTTAACTGAAAATTAATAGTCTTATTAAGAAGAATGACCAGATGCAAAAATATTTCACCAACGCTTCCCTTTTAAACGGTTTTAACATATTGTTTTCTTTTCGACAGAAATATTTTTGATGTTACTCTCTAATATGCAACTTCGAAGAATTGTATCAGTTGCAAATTCAGTGGCGTAGTCAGGATTTTATCATGGGGAGGGATTTAAAAAATTTTTTTTTTTGGGGGGGGGGGGAGGTCGCCCTTCAAACTTCTCATTTTTTTTGAACACTTAATTGCTTATATTTTTGGATTTGTTAAAATTGTTTTATATTCACATTCCTTTATTTTATCATGTATATATTTTTATTAATTAAAATATTTTCAAAATTTTGATATTTTATATAATACAGATTTTAGTATTAAAAATTATAATGTATAAAGACTCTATTTTAAAAAAAGTAATTTTTTACAATTATATAAAATATGTGTAATTCTTATGCAAATAATGGTATTTAAAAAAATATGAGGATATTATCTTATAAATATTACTTTTTTTACAAAAAAAATTGATTATATATTAAAACTAATAAAATTTTATTGCTATTTTTTGATTTGAATTTAAAAAGAGAGATCTACTTTTCTCTGAGATTTTGCTAATTCATCTAGAATCAAATTTTTATCTAAAATAATCTCCTTATAAATATTCAATAGGTCTAATCCATTTCCATTATAACGTTTTTCACCGGTTGTGTTTCTTAAATAGATTTTTAACCTTTTTAAAGTTGAAAAAGACCTTTCATTTTTGCAGGTACTAATTGGCAAGGTAGCTAAATCAATTAATAATGTTTTGATATTAGGCAGGGAATCTAAAATGTAATTACAGATGGAAAGTATGAATAAATTAATGATTTATATTGAAAATGAGAAATATATATTTTTATAAAATGGAATATGACAAACAAGACAACTTTTATAAAATGCAAAATAATAATATAAAATTTATTTTATAAATATAAAAATAATCAAATGTGTATATCTATTATTATTTATAATAAATTTAAACATAAAAATCAAGCGTTTATTAATAATTTATTAAATTAAAATTAAAAAAATTTAAAAAAATTAAAAAAATAAATTTTTTATTCATTTTTCATGGGAAGGGGGGGGGCATGCCTACGTCACTGTGCAAATTCGAGCTAACAAAATGGAAAGTAAAGCAAATATAGAAGATGACGATTAGCACAATATATATTATTTACTTATAAGGTAACATCTATCCTCTTATTTTTATTTTGAAAAGCATGAGGCTCTATAACTCATTATATAGAAGACATCCTTTCCCATGGTATTGGCGTGAATATGATATTTTAAAGTTATCAAAGCTAAATCAACCTCTTCCCCCCAAATTGCTATATGAGGTTTCACCTAGACATGCAAAATTGACAATGGCCACATTGGAACATATGGGAGGTACTAAACTCAGACTTGAACAATTAAAACACCTTGTAGCTAACTTATTTAGATTTGAGCGTATAGAAACTACATTTATAAAGGGGGAGGAGTGCAGGGGATATGCAGAAAGAGTAAATTATAGCTCATTTATATAATATAATTATTTATTTTGCATATATAGTTGATAAGAGATGCAATTGATTTAGGAGATAAGCATAAACCTACTATGGAAATGGCATCTTGGTGGCTGAAGGTATTACACAATTATTCATTCTTTTAACATGTTTTCTAGACTAGAGATGAATGTTTTCCTATCATCTTAATGTTAACAATTTTTATCTATCAACTTTCCTATTATCTTAATTCTATATTTGTTTAACTCAAAATGATATATATTTTTCCTACAGCTGATATGAAGTTCAACTGAATCCAATATTCTTACCTCATAATTTTATTTAATATATTTGATCCTCTATACCAATATTAATTTCAGACATGCCAATGCCATTTATTGATCAGTATCAGTATATATCACTACATTCAATTTTAACCAATACCAGTTGATTCTCATAATTTTGATTATTTTTTTAGCCTACATTAAATCATGAATTAATTTAACTAAATTTGAGCTAGAGGTGGGCAATGGCCTAATTTTTTATTCACGTCCCACCTGCTCACGGTGGCAATAAAATCACACCCATTCACGCTTACCACTAAAAAATTTTGACCACACCTGACCACTCACGACAAGCAATATTTTCATGTTTTTAATTTAAAATCCATAATGATAATATCTCCTATAATGGTTAAAAAACTTAGATTTTTATAGTCATCCATCCAAATATCAGTGATTATGGACAAGTAATTATTATTGATCATGCTTTTAATCTTAAATTTTATTTCATGGTATATTTTTGGACCTATAGTATTCATGAGAGTTTTTCGATTTACATTATTTTGTTATCCATATGTAACACCAACATTTATCTCTTGGCCTAGCTTGTCCTTCACCTTCTGTTGCATTTAAAGATTGAAGATCTTTATAAATAATATAACTGACTTTTCTGTAAAAAGTTTAAGCAAAATTTAGCATAAAGTCTTGCAACAAAAAACACCTAAACATAAAAAAAAATAGAACTAACTAAATGATACCGGATGTTGTTTATAAAATGCAGAAATTTTTAGCTTTCATAAATTATTCTTTTTAAAAAAAGAACTAAATTAAATAAGAAAATATATGATATAATTATAAAATTGCTAATTTATATTTATAAAAAAATAATTTAAAAAAATTAAAATTTCCGTGATTCACGGGAAATTTATATTCACACCCGATCACGCCTGGAGAAAATTTTGGGAAGGCCCGTCACACCCAGTCACGCCTTGGAATTTAAAATTTATTCACACTCCCTAATTTCACGGCCTGCGCCCACCTCTAATTTGAGCTATATATTTCTAAACTATGTAATTTTTTTTAATTTATTTCGCTTTTAGCAATTTCATATATTAATTATAAATAAATATTTATAAAAAAGCTAATAATATCTTAATTTTCTGAAAAACATGCATAATAATAATATTTTTTGGTATTGGTTACTACATTTGGTTTTGGTGGCACCAAAAATTGGCATCTGTTAATTTTTTTATAACTTATTTGGAAAATTTTGCTGCGAATAAATCTAATTAATCAAATCCATGTTATTTATTTTATTGGTAAATTATATTAACTACTTGGAAAATAAAGAGTAGGGCTGTGCCAATCCTCAATTTTTTTTCTGTTCTGATATTACTACAATACCAATCCAAAATTTATATTGAATTTATTTACCATTTATAAGTGTTGTTAAATGGCTCGTTTTGAGTCGTTTTTAAAAATGGTTAACTCTTAGCCAGAAAAATATTGCCTAAGCATCGAAATTTCGATAATATATGTATAGACCTTTGTTCCTTCTATGAGTAAAATCTTCAGGCTTGCGTAATATTTTTCTGGGTGAAGTATTGAGTTAGCTGTTTTTAAAAATTGGCTCAAAACGAGCCATTTAACAACACTATCATCTATATTTGAATAAATGCCACAAAATTATTTTCTATTCAAAAAAATTATTAAGTATATTTTGTTTTATTTATTCAAAGTTAATTATCTCATTTATAATATTGGCAATGTTCTGAATGCTATGTTACACCTTGATTTCACTTATTTTAAAAAATGGATATCAAAATTTAGTCAAAATACAAGATTTTAGCTAAAAGTAAATTATCCAAGCTTGAAGATTTTGTTCATCAGTAAGTTTTGGATATCTATTGCTAAAATTTTTAGGTAGCTGTATAATAACACTAGCTTAATTTACTTGTTATATATTCTATAATTATTTTCTTATTGCAAATAAAATTTTAATTACTATACTTTTTAAAATAATATTTATTTTTTAAAAAAAACATAAATAAATTGAATTTTATATTATAAATCATATTTAAAATATAAGATCAATTATATATACAACCATAGTATAACCAAAAACAAAACTTAGAATTGGATTGAAAATAATGGCTGAATCCTATATTAATGCAAAATATCAGATCTGATATTAAATATTATCACAGCCCTAATAAAGAGTATAACGAAATTATATCAAATATATTCTAGCACAAATTTTATATATAATATTTTTAGGGTACAGTTTGTCATGAAATTAGAGAGTATTTTTTTTTAAAATATTAAGTTAAGATTCAAATAATTATTATATGGGGGAATGGTTTAAAATCATAATTTATGTCAATCTGGAATAAATTAATTGATTTCTATTATCTTCAAAGTTAAGCCTTATTTATAAAAAAAACCTAAGCTAAAATAATGGTTTTTGATTAAAAAACTAGGGTTGGCCATTTATTAAATAGCTTGCTAGAAATTAGTGAAAAGATTAAAATCGAATACTAATACCTGGCTAGAAAGATTTTAAGCTACTCTAATTTTTTTTTGATCTAATTAAACTTATAACATCCCATGACAACTATAACAATAGGAATTTTTTTATATCCCCTCCCAGAGCCCTTTAAACCCAGCCTAATTTTTTATTAAAATCTCGTCTAGTTTGGGCATAAAGTCTATTTGATTTTTCAAAATTAAACCAGGCTTGTGCATAAAAATTTCTGATGAAATAATAAAAATTTCAAAATAAAATGATAGTCTTTGGCACTGTCTAACATAATCCCTTAAAATACCTCTTAACACTAACTATCAAATTATCCTTTGATATTTAAAATTTTATTTTTAAATATTTTAAAATCACATAATTTCTAAATAATTAGTAATATTAATATTGTTATCTGAATAAAACTGGAAATTAAAATGAATATGTATAATTATATAACAAAAAAATATAAATTAAGATTTTCATATTTTTTTTCGAACTCTTCTAGGGACATTCATAGAAGCATTCTACTCCATTGTAGTTCCATAGTTTCTCCAAATTCTGTTTATTGAACGTTCCATTTCATGTCTCTAATTACTATACAAATTTATACCTACCTTTAAGGGTACAAAAAGTAGCAATCTGTATAATATTTAGAATTTATATTGAATTTACACAATGTAAAATGTTTGAATAAATTCTGTTTTAAAAATTAAACCTTAAAATTTGATAAAACTATCGTTTGCACTAATTTTAGCTTTATTATAAAATAGTAAAATATTTCCAATTAAATTTTGAAATAAAGTAATTTAAAAAAATTATATTAATTTTGTTCATTATATGATTTCTATATTAAACACCTATATAAAATTTACAGATGAGAATGTAAAATATATAAGTGTAAATTACACAGAAAACTTTTAATATAAATTTTTCGTTTAGATTTGTTGAATATGTTGATCGATGTTATTTTATTATTTATTTTGGCAATTGATTTATTTTTTTATATATCAATTTTTATTTAAATTTAATCGGTGAAAATTATATATTAACATTTTTTTTATACATCAATTTGTATTATATTTTTTTAATTATTGTTTAAAAAAAGGATATATAAAGAGATATAAAAAATGTAATTGATCTTTTTTGTAAAATAAAAATGTAATTTATCATATAATAAAATTTAAATTATGATTAAAAATAAAATGATAACCAATGAAATATGTCATATAATTATCTAACTATAATAAAACGTGGAATTAACACAATTTCAACAAGATTTTTAATATAATGGCATGATTTGTATAACGATGAATAGAGTCGTATGCTCCAGTGCTCTAAAACTTCTATAAATAGGAAATCATTACTTATTAATTTATTATAAGTAATGGTTATTAACAGCATTACATAACAACTATGTAAAAAAAAATTTTGAATCAAAATATCTATTAAACAAAAATGTATAATTTATATTTTAAGGGAAATGAAGATTTAGTACACAAATTATTCAAAGTATTAGCGCCGAGATATACGAATATTAGAACTTGTGTGACACAAATATTTAAACGTTCCAGTCAAACCCAAAGATTATGTGTTTTAGAATTAAGAAGTTAGTTTCTATCCTCCCATTTACTAAATTATTTATTTAATATTACTATGTGGAGCCATTAGAATAGGGTCAAAGCCATGCACTTATTGAAAAACTCCTGAAACTCGCTTAAAAAATTTTCGCTCTTATTTTATAGTACGACTAAATGTATTACCCCGTACAGAAAATATCACAATTAATAATAAATATTTACTACAATAAACCTATTAAATATATTGTTCTGATAAGATTAATTTTATTTTTTCAAATAAATTTTAGTCTTTTTTGTCTGGCATTCTTTTATTATGTAAGATATATCATTTCAAACTTGTACCGTGCTACTTAAAAAAAAATATATTTATCAATTAAACCTGATAATCAAAAAGCTTTTACAGGTTTGATTAATACACTATAAAAAATTTTTTTTAAAAATCCTATCTTATTAGACAATCCACTACCTCCTATCAAGCCATTTCAACATACTTTCAAGTATACCTTGAGCAATGTGCTCCTCGAGGAGCTCAGGAAAGATTTCGAAGAGGCTAATATACCCACTAATATAATTGACAAAACTATGATCGAAAAAGCCCCAACACCTGAATCTAATGACAAATCTGACCTGAGAGGTGTACCATTATACACTAATGATCCTATATAAACCAATAGATTATCACTAAAATTTATAAAGTTGTTACTCTGCATGTACATATATAGATTGAATATGCAGTCCCAGGACAGAATGTCCGCCGATACATACATAAAAAATATACTATTTTGAGATTGATTTTTAATTATTCATATAACATAACTTCATTTATTAATAATATAAAATTACTATATTTGGATGGTTGTTTTTGTGTTCTTAGTTACTTTGTATAAATATATTTAAATGTTTTTTTTTACCTTTAATCACTTTTTCTTTTACTTTTCTCTTTTGTGTGAAGTTTGAAGAGACAAATAATTTTGGGAGGGAAAAGAATAAGAAAACAACTATAATAATTTTATTTCGTTTTTTTCTTTTTATATCTACTATAAAAATATATATATAATCTCTATTATCTAAAAATAACAATTTTACATAAATCCTTTTTAATAATAATAATAATATATTAAAATCAAAAATAATTCATTACCAAAAATGAATGACTTCACACTTTAACATAAAAAAAACCACCCACACAACAAATAAGATATATAACGAATGCGAATTTACAAAACCATAATATATTTATATAAACATTACGCATAACTTATAATTATTCATATCAACATTATACATTACTTATCCCTCTAAAATTTCTCATGGGTGATTGCTCTTGTATAATATGTTGCTACATTGTCATACAACCCCCTCTCCTTTTACACATTTAGATAACTAATCCTCTATCTTTTTGAGACTCGTCATAATTATGTTTTTGACAAACCAAATGGTATACACAATTGAACTGTTCTTGAAATCAGTAATCCGTTACAGGGCAATTGGATCGTAGTATCCAATTTCTATCAATAATTTACTTTTGGTTACATAATCTTCCATTATTTAGTCATTTCTAGGTAGTCTCATATTAGAGATATATCAAGGTTATCATTATTGGCTATCAAATGATTCCATATTTCATTGCTAAATCTAAGCTAAATTTATGGTACATTCTTTTTGAGACAATAAAAAATCCGTTATACCTTTAACTAGGAATTTCAAGAGATCCTGCATAAAATCTTTATTAGAATTAAATAATTTGAGATTATTTTTTCACCATTCTATTTAACATATAATAATTGAACTTTTTGTTGGTTTTATTCACGCTCTCTAGCATCGTTACAAAATTATACCAAAGTATAGGTTTTTTTTAAGTATTGTTTTTTTCATATCAAATTCAAAAAGTTCAAAGGATTTCTACATCCAATATATCTGAAATGTTATCCATAGCTTCGGCGAAGTTTTTCAGAATAACCTTTTAAATATGATCATAGTTATAACGCAACAATAGTTTTTTTATTTTCTAATTTATTTAACATCATTATGTAGCCCATGCTCTAAATACATTGTATATAATTATAAAACAAATTGTTTTAACTTAATGTTTGTCTATAATAAATTTAAATTTAACAAAATATTTAATAAATCTGATTCTGTTAATTAAATAGAAAAAGAATTATAAAATAATAGAGGAGACCAGGGGAACAATGGACAGAATTTTATATAAAAATCTCTAAATATTAACGAAATGTTAAAATCTAGCCAGCTTCTTTACCTAATATTTAGGATTTTAAAAATATTGCAATTCAAAAAAGAAAATACCGGGTACATATGACCTTCTGTTTGGTATATATATAATTGGGAACTTATTTCTTTTAAATAATCTTATATAATTCGTCTGGGTGGATACCTAAATAATAAAATTAATTAAAAGTCCGCCATTATGTAGATAAAGGTATATAAATTTGATTATTAGAAGTAAACTACAAGAAACAAATGAATATTTATAAATAATTTTTCCAATTACAAAGTGAAAGTATAATATAATGTAAAGATATCTATTACGACATTATATGTCTTTTACTGATTACAAAATATTATAAAATCTTGCAATACCTAAACAGAAAACTTGAATAAATAAAAAATACCTATTTGTATTTGGATGAAATAGTTTCCTTTTCTCCCTCAATCTTTTGATTAGTATACATCTGACCTATAAGGTTTGTTGGTATCCTTGAAAAAAAAATCGCCATATCCTCCATATAATTCACGTTCGCTCATTTTGGGCAGGTCTATGACCAACGTGCTAGATAAGATAAAAGAATTATTATTTATCAATTTAAATCTTAAGTGGGTACGATGGATATTGAATAAGTTTAAAATACTAGTTTTATTGATTACTGTTTGTTGTACTGGAATTTTTATTTTATTAAATCATATGTTTATTTCTAGATTCTCACTATGCTAAATAGTAAAATTATCATAGCCAACATAACTCTTCCATGATCAAGTTTTTATTTTATTGGGCGGCTTTTTACCTCTCCTCTTATTTCCCATGGGATGGACTTTTGAGTAAGTAGCTTTGCCTCTTACTGATGAAACAATAGTAATTATGCTAGAGAAAAATGATCCTATCATTCAGATAGTCCCAATACGTAGTGTATTTTAACATTATATTTTTTTAAGTTAATATTGATGAAAGATCTGCTGTATATTTTATTATAATAATTTATTTATCAATAATACTACCATATAGATAATACATCCATAGGTACAAAATTAGCAATCTGGTTAAATTTGCTTATATTTTAAAAATATGTATATAATTAATTTTATAACTTTACCATGCTATTTTACAAATAAGAAAGAATGCTGATTGCGAATTTAGCAATATTTTTAATTTGGTGCATTCATATAATATGATAACAACATGCCAAGAAATCAAGACAAGTACATAGGAATAATATTTCCATGTAATCAGTTGATGAGGATTACAGAATTACGATTTTTATACCACTTATGGATATATTTTTAACTTGAATTAGAGAACGTTTATTGAATCATAGACTGTTGCTCAATAACTTTCAAATTTAATTATCCTCTAATCCATCATTGACATCTCGGATGAGATTATTATAAAATTCACTATTTATATACGTGTTATTTGCAAGATATGGTAGCGACTTAATTGGAAGTAATTTGAATTTAAATATTGGGATGTTAGCTTAAAAAGAAAGGACATTAACCCTGAGAATGCACTAAGTGCACTTAATGTTTGTAAACACACATTATTATTCCAAACATTACAAAATTATTTCAAATTTTAGCATGCCTCCCTATTATGACTTGTATTAATGGAAAAACTTTCTAGGATTTACGAAGGCTAAAAACATATTTACGGAATACTATATCGCAAAATAGATTAAATGGATTAGCGCTTATAAGTATTCATCGTTAATTATCATAATTATCAAATTCTAAAAGAAAATTAGATCTAACATTATAAATTTTTAACACGTTTTTATATCAATATATATATGTGATATATATTATTATATGAATATATATATTTCCTATTTGTTCTAGAATTATTTTTTGTTATAATCTCTTATCCTTCATATATTTTAAATAATGATATTTTTTAAATTAAAATTAACCTCCTATCCTGTAAAAATATTTTATAACTATATATAGACTAAGTTAACCCATTCAAAGACTAGACAAAAGCGGGCCGAAGACCCGCCCAAAATGGAAACTGGCGCGAAGCCATAAGCAATTTATTAATCCCCACCCCCCTTAGGAAAATCTTTGATATGCCTATGGATGTGAATGTATTGAAGAATAGCTTGTGTGTGGGCAGCGTCTACATGACAGGATTTTCACTGGAGGCAAAACCCCTTCAAAAACCTTTGCATACCCCCCTAAAAAATCCCCGCCGCCTTCACCTATTTATTTATTGATACTCTTTTCAAATAATTTATAAAGGATAAATTAAATTAATCTATCTCTACTACCAACTATCGATATTTTGTGAATATAAATTATTTATTTTTTAGAAAATAAATTTAATTAAAACCTCCATTTACAATGAATTAATTATTATGGCATTATGAGCTTGCTGAAATATCTAAGCCTTTTAAATTATATTTAAAAGGATAGTTTATTTGGAAAACAATGTGTAAGATTGTTTGCAATATATAGATTTGGTCGATGAATTGTATTATAATAATACTATAATAAAAGTATTAATTTTTACAGCAATTAACTTTTTCTTATTTCTTCTCAAAATTTAATAGATAACCCCCCAAAAAAAATTTATCCTACCCCCATTAAAGCAGCTTACCCCCTACCCCCTCAAAAAAAGGATGCAAACTGTTCCTACCCCTCCCTCTCATGTAGACGCTGTGTGTGTGGGATAGTAAAAGCTCGATTTAAGTCGATTGTAAAAAACGGCCTGCGTAGATTTTAGCTAAAAACTTTATGTAAGCCTAAGGATTTTGCACATAGCCGGTAGAAATGCGGTCATCTTTTTGCCAAATCTCTATGATAGTTGAAATCTTAATTGAGTCATTTTGAAAAATCGACTCAAATCGGACTTTTAACAACACTATGATTATTATGTGACACTAAGTATATTTATTTAAAATATATTTTTCTAATTTATTTTATATTTATTAGATAATGAAAAATGAAGAGATATTTGGTTTGAGGTGAATGTTAAAAATGTTGGAACTGGAAACAATAGACCTTAATGATATAGGAAGAATTTTGAAAGATTAGTAAAAGTTAAAACTATTTAAAATAACCACTACAATTCATTGAAAACCCTAAATTATTTTTGTAGAAATCTAATATGCACAAGGGCCTACAATTAGTGGACCAGAGGATATTCAATAAAATTTATGGGTGAAAAATTTATTTATTAGGCCGCTCCCCTAGAAAAATCCTGGATACGCCTATGTAAATAATAGAAGCTATATGTGAGGTTGAATCAAGAGATATGAACGATGATATTAATTTTTTATATAATTAAGGATAAAATTAAACATAGGTTTGAAATATGAGTTGTATCAAGCATATCACAAATTTGACATTTTCCAACGTCAAATATTTTTAGATATGAAAGATAGCATGAATTTAATCATTTCAAAAAAGAAAACCCAAAATTATTTTTGTATAAATCTAATAAACCCAAGGGCCTACCATAATGGACCTAAGAATCTCCAATAAAATTTATAAAGGAAAAAATTTATCTAATAATGCCCCCACCGCTAGCAAAATCCTCGCCTATGAAAATCATGAAAGCTATTTGTGAATCTACAGATATGAAGTATGATAATATTTTTTTAATATAATTAAAGATAAAACTAAACATAGGGGTGAAAAATGAATGACATCAAGTATGTCATATTTGACATCTTACAACTGCATGTATTTTTAGATACATGATTTTTATCAAATGTCAATTACATTTTTTTATAAAATCTAGAGTTTATTTAACACCATATATGTGATAAGTTTTTTTATTTTTTTCAAATCGAGATCATCATGAAAGACACATTACTTCCAGTACCAGGAGATAGGGAATCTAGGATAAATAGTTATATGGATCGGGTTTAATAATGTGAATTTTATTTATTTTAATTTATACATAAACAGCACGAGCGCTATGTTAGAGAGACAAAAGAAAGTGAAAGTGAAATATTATTTATTGGAGATTCATTGATTGAGCACCTAGTTCAAACAGATGTTTTATATTTTCATCATTGCTAGAATTTTTTTAAAACTTAGATATGGGATCAATTTAGTCAAATGCATGCCCTTAATTTTGGAATAAGTGGGGACAAAACACAAAATGTTTTATGGAGGATTAAAAATGGTGAGCTAGATTTTGAAGATAATAAACCAAAAGTTTTATAAGACACTTAAATGATAAAATCTTAATTATATAGGCTGTAATTTTGCTCATTGGAACTAACAACACTGAGAGTACTGAAGATATTGTGGATGGCATTATTGAAATTATTAAAGAAATTCAAATTAAATTGCCCAATTCATACATACTTGTCATGGTAAATGATGATAGAATTTATTTAACATTTTAATTATCTATTTGATTTTTTAAATATAAATTCATTGTTAGATAAACTTACTTTTGATTTATTTAGAAAGTAATATTAATTATTTTTTTTAAATAGCTTATATATATTTAAACCCCTATAGTCTTTATTTCCCAAAGGGCAGTATCCATGTCCTGAGAGGTCTAAAATAGCATCCATTAATTCCCTCCTTGCAGGTAAACTTTACTTTCCAAAATTGGTTGATTTGGATCCTACAATTGACCAATCAAAAGACAAGATATTTTCTTCTTTAGTTCGATTTGTTGATTTAGATCCTGGATTTGTTCAATCAGATGGCCGGATTAATCACCATGATATGTATGACTATCTTCATCTGACCAAACGAGGGTATGAAAGAGCCTTTTCACCACTTATTCATATTTTACAAAATCTCATATATGAACAAATATGAGAAATCATTAATCATAATTTAATATTTTCTATAATTATAATCATGTAAATATTTGGAAAAAATTGTATTTTAATTAAATTCAAATTACATACAACAGATATTATAACTATATGTCTTTATACTTGAAATCAAATAAATTTAAAATTATAACCCCCCTCCCCCCTTCTTTTTTACAATGTTAGATATTATCAGAACATTGTAGTTGAATTAAAACTTGATTATCCATTTATTTAATAATATTTCTCTTAAAGCCACAAAGCATTTAATAAAAATTACCTAATCATAAACATCCTAACATTATATTTGCTTATTAGTATATTATGTATATAAATATCCAATTATTTTGTTGTTTCATAACAATTTTTTGTTTAAGATTTTTATAGCTGTGATTAGATATGTTTTTTTCTAGTTCATTCCACCATATTTCAACCAACCTATAATCTCAGACCAAATTCATTTTCTTGGAACTTAGAATTTATATGTCATTTGTATACTTTATATAAATATATAGTCTATGTTTCATATGTAATTTATAAAAATATTTATATTATTTCAGAGTTTATAGAGTTTTATTTATTTAAATTATAAATGCTTATTGTAATATAAATCTTGTTATAATGGCAAATTAAATGATTATTTATTTTGTGTCTTTATCTTGTAACAATTAAAAATAATTATTTGTAATAACCACCTATCTTGCAATCAAATTTCCATTAATAAGTATATAATATAACTCATTTTAAATTATATGTAAAGACTTAATTGCTTACAAATTTTTCATCATGAATCTTATTGTAAGAATAATAAAAGATTCACCATTTAAAATGAAATCAATTGGATTTAAATCAGATCTTTTTTTAAAAATAATATGAAAAATTTTTCTGTAAAACAAGATTAAAATATGCTATATCGGAGTTAGAATATAATGAGTTATGGAATTATATGTTTTAAGTAGGGATGTACCAATATTTTTATCGGATCGGGTCGATATTTCACCTATTATAAAATATCGGTTATCGGCCAATATTATAAAATTATCTGTAGTAAACTGTGTTACTTTATTTGTTAACGTCGAAATTAGTGGGAGAGCTTATACTAATTGATGATATTTTACTACTTCTAATATTCTTTATTCAATTTCTTTTATCAAATTATCGTCTGTCAAATAAGAAAGGTTAGAATATAATGATACTAAATCAGACTAATCTCGTTAGAACTAAAATGATACTAAATCAGACTTATATCCTCGATTATATATATTTTTCTATAATATTGGTCAAATCAGAAAAGTTAGAACTAAAATGATACTAAATCTTTATTAAATAATAAGTTAAAAATATAATCAACTAAATTAAAAAAAATTAAAATAATCAAAAATTAAAATTAAAAATTATAATTTCGTAAAATCATAATCATAATAATTATACAAATATTTTCGAATATATATACTTTTCTATAATATTCATTTACATAATGTTTTACAAACAAACTGAAAAAAAATCTTGAACTTTCTTTAATTTGAATAATCATTCTTTTTTATTCATCTTTCTTTAAATCATTTGCATTCGAAATTTAATTCTTTTTTCTTGAGTAGATTTGAATATCTTTCGGCTTCGTAATTTGGTTTAACAATTACAACATTATCCTATCCGATATAAAATGGCTTTTTTAACATAAATATCATTTATTTTTATAAATAAAATCGGAAATTTTTTTAATAATAATAATTAATTATTAAACATTGTGTCATATTGTTATTTTTTTGCGCATTCTGTTTATAGTGTGCGATAATCTCTTCAGAATATGTTTTTAGTGAAGCTGGTGATATTGATAGTTACAATCGCCGTAGGCTGATTTCTGATAAATTGGAAATTTTGGTATATCTAAAAAGAAATCTTCGATATATTAATGTTAAATATTATTTTAAATATTTATTTAAATTTCATAATATATTTGTTTATTACTTATTATGTATATAGATTAATGTTGTTACTTATTATATAAAAGTGATTTAACAATAAAAATATTTTATATACTTTTAGAATTGCAATAGAAATGAATATAAACTATAACTGATCATTATAATATATTTAAATGAGATAAGTTATGGTATAATTAAATTATAGATGTTACACTAATAAATAGTATATTACAAATTAAAACTATTGGTATCTTTACAGAATACAAAATTAGATATGATATCGGATCGGTAATCGGCCGATATCAATTTAATATTGAGAATATCGGATCGGCCTCCAAAAAGTGATATCGGTACACCCCTAGTTTTAAGATAGCCAAAATATTTATAGTATCTGAGGAGAATAAATAAAAATTAGTTTTGTGAACGAAGTACGTTTTTTTGAAAAAATTTGACCAACTTTAAACGTGAACGCGTTCCTTTTTTATAACGAACGCGTTCGAATTTAAAGTTCGTTCAATTTTAAAAACATTTTTTATTTCATTTATTTGAAAAATTTAATATTGATCCAAATTTTTTAAGAAAAATGTTTTATATTTTATAATCAACTGTTTTTCTTTTTCACATTTCATTTTTTTTAACACACCATTTTTATAGTTAATTAATTTAAATATTTTTGTTTATATTTTAATTTAATAGATATATATATGCATGGATATTATTATCATTATCTGATTCTGAAAATTCAAAATCAAATGAGTTAACATTACTATCCCAAATATGATAAATATTTTACGTATATTGAAGGAACTAATTCAATAGTTACCAAATGTAACATGTGCTCAATATTATATAATTTCCAAATCTTCAAGTTCCAATTTAAAGCGACATTTTTTATTGTAATATTAATTATTTTATTTTACATAATATAACTCATTAATCATTAAATTTGAAAAAAAAATGCTAAACCTATTACTATCAAATTAATTATACTATATTTTTTATTTTGAAATTACCTAGTTTTTAATTCTTTATATGTATATTTTAATTAAAAATGTAAGAAGAAAATAAAATGAATAAAAAGAAACCAAAATTAAATTCATTTGTAATTGTAATGTTTAATTAAAAAAAGTATAACTAAAAATGGTAAAATTATTTTTTTCAAAAAGAAAGAAATTATATAAATATAACGAATCACGATCACCCATAAACATTGCCAATATTTTAAATGATTTGATTAATTCTATGTGAAATAAAAATAGAAGACATCGAATCAAAAATTTTAGCCTCCTATTCCTAAAAGTTCCTCATATATTCAAAAGTGCCAAAAATCACTTTTTTATTAGATGAGATAGTTTAAAAAATAATGATGCTAAAAATAAATTATGTGTCATTTTGTAACTATTATACAAATCTTTTAATAAATATTGAAGAATTTTTAAAATAATATTGCGATTTTCCGTATTTCTTTGAATTTGATATTTTATTATTCGCTTATATTATTTCTATTTGTAAAAAGATTTAAAATTGGGATGGCTGTGGTTTTTTTTTAGTTTTTGTGATTTCAAAAAAATAAATAAATATTTTTTCAAAAATAAATGGCACTCCTATATAAATAAACTCATTTTGTTAAAATTATTAATTTCTAATGAATAATAAGATATTTAGAATAATAATCTGCATCGGACCTAATTTTTCAAGCCCGGCTAGGCCCGAATTTTTTTAAAATGTTTTAAGCGGCCCGCCCAATTTTTTAAAAAAAACTTTGCTGGCCCGGCCCGAAATATTTTTTAAAAATATTTACCGGCCCGGTCCTAATTTATTTAAATTAGAAATTAATTTTTATTATTACTCATAAACAATATATATTATATGGGGTCTAGTTTCTATAAACAAAATCAAAAATTTTTATTTCATAAAAAATTCAACATAAAATTGATAAATTTAGATATATTTATAAAAAAAATTTAAAATACCGACCCGGCCCAAATTTTTTAAATATTAGGCGGACCCAGCCCGAACCCGATTTTCAGGCCGGTCCTACTTTTGCAGATCTCTAATTTCGAATACTATTTCTTAAAAAGTTTTAAAAAACGTAATTTAAATTATTTCTTATATAAATAAACTCATTTTTGTTTAAATTATTAATTTCTAAGCATGAATAATAAGCTGTTTCTTAATAAAATGTTTTAAAAAACGTAATTTAAATTCTTGGTGTTCATAGCCTCATCTAGGTTCTTGAGGTTATAATCTTAGCAACAATATGAAACTTTAAGTATACATCTTATTTTTATGTTAAAATTTAATTCTTGATTAAAAAAAAATTTCCAACAATTACTTGTTTAATTTATTTACTATTTAAACATATACCTTCAATTGTTAAAATTAATAAAAGAAATACTCGAAATTTACAATTTTTCTAAATAATAAAATTGTTTTTTTTATCTACCTCTACCCTAATCAGGAATGTGAACCCGGACCCTGAACCCTCGTATTTTTTTTTGGAGCCAAACCCGGACTCTTTATAAGTGGAGGGTTCAACTCTAAGTGTCAAATTTTTAAGGGGAGTTATGCTATAACTGATCAACGTTGCTCACTAGATGAACTTACTATCCAAGCATGTCTACGCCTAAAGAATTGGATGTGCAGAGAATCTTAATATATAATCATTTTTCTTTAGATAATACATATTTATACACATGTATGTATGATATTCTTTATTTTTTATTGAAATCAATTATTTGTGCGTATTATAAAAAAATTATACAATTTATGATCTAAATAAATAAATTTATACTATGCTGATTAAATTTGATAGACTAATGGTAATTTGCGATATTACTACTACAAGCTAAAAAGTAATTACAAGCTAAATAGTAATTACAAATTAAAATCAAATATATAGTATGTAGATATAATATATATTAAGGTAGATTGTCATAATTAGTATAATGTGGGTATATATTAAATTAATACATATTATTCCATTTCATCTAAGTTATAACGATATTTTTATAACATAATCCTGTATCATTATAGGGAGTACCATCAATAACGCTATCTCCAGTTATGTAAATAGCACCGTTAACATTGCATGCTTTTACGCAGGGGTATGATGTATCTAGCAAAGTTTTAACAAGTTAAATAAAGTTTTTATACATAGTGATAGCCAAATATATTATAATATCATTTTATATGCCATTAATTATTTAAATTGAAACACTCTATCATATTGCATACTATGTCATAGAAGTGGCGTAGGCATGGGACGGGGTGGGTTGGGGTTTCAACCCCCTCCCATCCCCTTCCCTACATGAAAAATAATATATTTTTTTAAATTTTAATTTACTAAATTGAAAATAAAGAAATTTATAAAACAACCATTTTTATGTTTTAAATTTATTATAAATAATAATGGCTCTACAGTATTTGATTATTTTTATATTTTTTAAAATAAATTTTAAATTATTTTGCATTGCATAAAACTTGTCTAGTTTGTCATATATTTTATAAAAATATATAATCAAACATCATGGAATTGACTCAAAGAATCAAATAAAGAAACCAAAAAGATTTTGTCGGCCTAAATTCATTGAAAGACAAGAGTCGGTGAAACTAAGATGTTGTATTTGCAGCACTGGAATTTTATATCTCAAGCAAGAAAAAAGATTCAG